AGTCTTGAAAATCCTACAGTGACTGTTAGCTCATCAGCTTCCTCGTCCATCTCTCAAGTCCTGAGCTTATTTGGCCTCCTTCAAGCAGTTCTTGTGGAATCCATCAAAAGAAACCTGTTGTTGATGCCACAGGGCAACTACTTTCCTCCCTAGGCCATCTGTAGTTGTAGAAATCTGTTTATTTTCACCGTCCTAAGTAGCACCTGACTGCCACTTACTTATGTGTTTGCAGAGGACTCAGACTCCCCCTGAGTGGAAGGTATGCTTGATGAGGTTGTGAATTGCTGTCCTCAAGTGTGTTGCTCACATGTGGGGCTGACTTACAAGGAGGAGCATGTACCTCAAGGGTGCTCCAGCATCCCGGACTGACTGTGAGGATGGTCAAGAAGAGTGGTTAGGATGTGGCCTTCCTTTCTGCCAGACATTCTCACTCTGGAACTGCTTTATGTAAAATCAGTTCCCCAGGAAGAACACACGTATTCACAAGAGCCTCACCTTGGTCTGGTAGCCTTGACTCCAGCTGAAAAGGAGTTCAGGATGAAAGGAGATTCTTGACATTCCGGGTTTCTTCTAGTGTGGAAGGAAATTGCTGGAGTGGGATCTGGACATCTCATGGGCCCATGACAATTTCATATGGACAGAGCCCCACAGTCATTCGAATGCACCCTGATGGTCATTGTGACACTGAGAGGGTTTTATGTCATGCTAGACCTCTTCATTGTAGTTTCTTAGTCCTTGCCTTTCTACTAGATTTGTGCATGACTGTGCAGAACTCTGATTTGGGTAGGATATATGATCGTAATTTGCTGTTTGCATGCCTGTTGGAAAATTTGTCCCATAAAATGAGACCTTTGGCCAAAGTCACTGTTGAGTAGATTTTCTCCAAAGAGACTGTAGGCTAAAGTTAATGGAGTAGCATGTCAACAATAAGAGAATCTGGGTAAAGGTGTACAGGTCTTCCTCTAACCACACACAGGTATATGGTAAAAGCATGTGTGGATGTTATGATCTAGAAGTGATCCCTGAAAAATTTTCACTAGTGTATACATCATTGCAATGTTTCTGTAAGCTTGAAGTTATTTCTAAATACAAAGTTAAAAATTGTATTCCCGAGACAAAATGTATTGTGATGAACAGAGCTTCTGCCTCCTTAGGCCATCTAGAGAGTGTACATGATAGAGCTGTGTCATGGGAGTACCCATTGGTGGGAAATGAAGTCAGTTTACATGTGGATGAAGGCTCGTCAAACTCTAGGTTGTGTCTCACATGGTATCTGGACTGGATTCCCAGCATTATGAGGGGCACAAATAGGACAGTGCACACAATGAGAAACTGTTATGGAAAATTCAGGAGCAAATCAAGCATTTCTGATATTTTTCTTCCTTCTTCTTCCTAGGTTATGACACAGAAAAGAGATTTAGATTAGACTTCTAAGATTTAGACATCAGAGGACCATCACTTCCCGGCAAGAGTGGGCGAACGAGGTGTGGGGAAGAATCTCTGATGCCCAGTGGCCTTTTCCATATTGTGGGTCTCCCTTTGCAGCTCAGAGCTTGTGGCAAACGGTGAGCAGGCATTAGGTGTCCAGGGTTTCTGGCAGGTGGTCTTTGGGAATAGTAAGTAGTGTACATCAGCTCGCATGTTGCCTTGATGAACCTCAGGGCTTAAAGCTTGTAGGCTCAATCTTGCACAATGGCAAGGGAGAAGTAGTAAATGGCTTTAAGGAGTTTGTAGCATAATGTACATTGTGTTTTTGTACCAGCGAAGATGCCTACAACTTTGGATAAAGACCCAACATAAATATATATAAATTTTTGATATTCTTAAACATACGATGTAAAATGTTATTGTTAACTGTGTCTCTTAATGAGAAAAAAGAGGTCCTTATTTGATTTTATATATACATGGAAAATTTGTTGCTAAAATTAAGCAATTTTATCCATGGCTTTTATCGCTACATATGCAGATGAGAAAACAATGAGTATGCGATGTCCTACTCTATTCTTTGTATATATATTCTATATATATATATATACTCTAAATGTCACTCTATTCTTTGAATTCCTTTGAGCTATAGACTAAATGTCATTGTAATTTATCACTCAAAATTATTATTATTTTTTAATATTTTGACTTCTGTATAGAAGGACTTTTTAAATTATTTATTTATTTGGAAGATTAGCCCTGAGCTAACATCTGATGCCAATCCTCCTGTTTTTTCTGAGGAAGACTGGCCCTGAGCTAACATCCACACCCATCTTCCTCTACTTTATATGTGGGATGTCTGCCACAGCATGGCTTGCCAAGCAGTGCCATGTCTGCACCTGGGATGCGAACCGGCAAACCCCAGGCCGTCGAACAGACCATGCGAACTTAACCGCTGTGCCACCGGGCCAGCTCTCAAAATTATTTTTAACAATCTATCAGCCCCAGCTAAATTAGGTTGCCCTTTGGTATTATAAGAGCAAGAAATTTGAAATCACTTTCTATAGAAAAAATTTTGTGTACCACAATATACTTTGGGGTTTTTTTGAAGCCTGGAGATTTGTACCTGCAGAGTTAATGCTCCATATGGAGATTTGGATGTATGACAGGATGGCTTCTGTCTTTGGTAAATTGGACAGGAGGGATTATGAAAGTAGAGGTGGGAAGGGAGAGTCACTCTGACCACACACAGGTATATGGTGAAAGTATGTGTGGATGTTATGATCTAGAAATGATCCCTGAAAAATTTTCACCCCCTGGTATATGTCGATCAGTTTGAAGTCCAAAGCCCTAGAGAAATCCTAGGATTACAACCTGAGCCAGAAGGAACATGTGTGACCAGCACATCCTGTTGAGGACAGGAGTCCAGGGACCCCATGTCCCTTGGAGATAAATAGTACCTATCATCACCCACGACCCATCTATACCCTGAGTTCCAATATTCAGTATTTAGGATTTTAAATCACAGTAATAGTCACTTAGATGTAATCCAAAAACTATAAATTAAGTGATTGAAATGTAATTACCTCATTTTAACTGGGAGAACTTCCAGTGGAACAAGAGCCAATTCTGAAGCACACTTTGTTAGCATTTAGGATAAGTAAACATTCCTCATTAATAGAGTCAATTTATTCAATTTGGTATTTGACTTTGGGAATGAGGTATTTATTTTATTTGACTTATTACATCTTTCATTTTTTTTACATAAGTGTAATAGCTGACATTTACTGCTGGACCCTGTGCTGAGCATTTTTTCTGTATTAATTCATTTCTCCTAAGACAAATCTTATGATGTATGCACTATTATTATCACTCTTATTTTACGGATGAAGAAACTGAGGCTGAGAGGGTCAGCACCTTGCTGATGTCCCTATAAGTAGAAAAGTGCCAGAGCTGAGCTTGAACCCAGGTAGTCTGGCCCTAAAGTTGGGCTCTTCCCCACTGCTCAATAAATGAATACATTCTAACTTTGACAGATCCAAACAGCAATTCAGAACTGAAAACAGAGTGTAAAACTGCCCAGTTATGATTCTGCTGTGGGCTGTGGTAAATTTGTGGAATCATTGGAGTTTGTTGACTTCTTTAAACTTTCTAATATTTCCCTCAGGATCTAGGTGTGTGCCCCCATTTCTTGAGATTCCCTTTTATATCTGTGAGTAGTGTCATGACTTTATCCTTAAGTATTTGCAGGTTTCCATTTATGTATATTTCAATATATTACATTGCTTCTATTGTTCCTATTGCCAGTGGATTATTTTTTCTATTACGTCACGTACTGGTAACAGAAGGTTTTTAGGAGAGTGATTGAGGTTTATACACTGATCTTACATTCAGCTACATGATCAACATTTATCAGTTATAATGGTTTTTTTCAGTAGATTACCTTAAATTTCCCTGATAGTTGATCTATCATCTATATATAGTGACCAATTCATTGATTCATTTTATTCATCTGATTTTTTTTCTTGTTTGAAGAGTTTGTTTTTTACAAGATGTTTCTGTTCATTTTTTTAAAATAGTTTTTATTGTTTTAAAGCAGTTTTAGGTTCACAGGAAGATTGAACAGGGAGTGCAGAGTTCCAGTACACCCCTTACCTCTGTACATGCACAGCTTCCCCCGCTGTCAACATCCCACACCTGATGGTGCATTTGTTACAACTGGTGAACCTACGCTGACACAACATAATCACCCAGTCATTAGTTACAGTAGAGCTTACTCTTATGTGGTACACTCTATGGGTTTTGATAGATGCATGATGACATGTATCCAGCATAGTATCATATAGAAGAGTGTCACTAAACTGAAAATTGTCTTCTCCTTATTCATCCCTCTCTCCTCCCTGACTCATGGAAACCACTGATCTTGTGACTGTCTCTATAAATTTGCCTTTTCCAGGATCTCATATATTGGAATCATAAAGTACGTAGCTTTTCAGGTTGGCTTCTTTCACTTAGTAATATGCATTTAAGTTTCCTCCATGTCTTTTCAAGGCTTACAGCTCATGTTTTTCAGAGCTGTATTCCACTGAATTTTAGAGCTATATATCATTATGTGGATATACGACAGTTTCTTTATCTATTCACCTAGTGAAGGATGTCTTGATTGCTTCAAAGTTTTGGCAGTTATCAGTAAGGTTGCCATAAACATCATGTGCAGGTTTTTTGTGGACATAAGGTTTCAACTCTTTGGGGTAAATACCGAGGAAAGCAGTCGCTGAAACTTATGATAAGTGTATGTTTAGTTTTGTAGGAGACTGTCAAACGGTCTTCCAGAGTGGCTGTACGATTTTCACTCCCACCAGCAATGAGTGAGAGTTCTTGCTGCTCCACATCCTCACCAGCATTTCATATCATCACAAATGATCTTTTTAAAAAAAAATTAAAAAAAAGAATTGAAGAGAAACAGATGAAGGATCTAGGATGAGGAGTCATCAACTAGAAGAATTCAGTTGAGTCAAAAACTGAGATGCAAGCAGCTGAAACGGAATTTAACTGTCAATCTCCATTCCATCTGACACGTCACCAGTACCAGGCATCCCAAATGAACGGATCCCTTTGCTTCTTTACATTCACGTACCGTCAATGCCTGAGCTCGACCTACATGCCTCCAAACTAAGCAAGTTTGAGCAAGTTTCTTACTTTCTGCAAGTTAGTTGGCTCAACTTTTAAAATGGGAAATATAATAGCTCATAGAAGCTGGCAGAGAACTCAGCTAACCCCACCCCCCATCCTGACAGAGGCCTTCCCTCTCTGCCAAGCTGGTGACCAGTCTACTAGAGAATAGGCATTTCAGTGACTGCAGTCATATTTCTCCTTCCTACTCCCCAACACAGGGCCGTCTGTTGCTCCATCAAAATGTCCACTCTTTGCTCAAAAAATATATACACCCCTCATTAAATGGGTCAAGGCTCATCTGTGAACAGATGTGAACTTACGCATCTCCAATTGTCCATCTCCAGTTCCTGCATCTGAATCTCTTCCTTTTCCTCTCTTCTCAGGGCCCAAGAGAAAGAAACTGAACTGAGGTTCCCATTTCTGGGGAACAGAGAGCCATCATCTCCTCCCTCCACAGAGGAGATGCAGCCAAAGCCCCAAGAACTGAGCATAGTCCATGAGTTCTATGTAAGTAATAGTGTGTGTGTGTGTGTGTGTAATATGTGGGTACTTCTAAGGTGTGGGTCCAAGGGAAAGGTCCATTTGCCTGTGTCTAATGGTGTCATGGGTCCCGAGGTGTTTTGGAGAAGGGGAATGGAGGGCCTCATTATGACTTTTGTGAGTCTTAGGTACTTTTGGCCACTTCTCCATAAAAACATATTAAATATTATATCTTACCACTGCCTTGGTATAAAGATGAATACACCCCACACTGGTTTATTGGTATATATTAATTATTACCATAGTCACTGTTAGTTAATATATTTACAGAAATTATGACATTTTTGTGTTACCCTGAAACTATTGTGTGCCTAATTCCCTGTACATGTTATGCCTGGTGGAAGAGCCAGCCAGGTGGGAGCCCAATTTTCCTGAGAAAGGGTCAGGGGTCTTCCTGGGTGAGAGGACAGCCTGGGAAGGAAGAGGGACCTGCTGAGGTAGAAGCACAAAGGTGGCACCAGCTTATCCCTGGTGACGGGATTGTGGGCACTGATAAAGTAAGCAGACGTCAAAATCAATGACAACCCACTTGCTCTTTTTTATTCCTGCAGAACACACACACTTCCCCCACCCTTCATTGCTGTGTAGGTCATTGTGGGAATGAGCAAATGGACCACATTGCCACTTGCAGGGACAGGACTAGGGGGCATCGCACAATCTAAGAGGCCTCAAGAATCTCAGTAATTAGGGTAAATAATGTTTTAATAAAATATTTTTTTAAATCAAAATTAATGCCATATAGCAAACTTCAAAATCAAGACAGGATCCACTCCTGCTTTGCACAAGTCACCTCCCTGGCTGGCTCTGTTCCCGGCCCTGCAATCTTGTGTCGGGGACAGAGAGAGCTGAGAGAAGAGCCTCGCCATGGAGCACAGGGCTCAGAGTGGAGGTGAAGCCTGAGGTGGATCAGGAACCTGAGCAGGACCCAACCAGCAGAACTTCAGTGCCTGAGGGTGTCAGAGACAGTCCCGGGGGAGACGGGGTGATGTGGGAGGAAAGGCACTTTTCCAGAGACAGGGTCAAGGCTGGGATACAGAAGGGAAGAAACAAGGGCTTTTGAGATTCTTCAATCCCTCACCCATAAGTTCTTAATCAATAATTGTGTGTGTGCTCATGAGCACACAGATGTGTGATATATGAGGCTCTCTGAACCCTCCATTTTAATCAGATAACAAGAAAAGAACGTTGAGTTTGCAGATACTTTATTGAAATGGAAATGTAAATGAAGTTTCAACAATTGTCCTGGACTTGTCGATCAAAAGAGAAAAAAGAGAGTCTCTCCTGGTGGCACAGAAGTTAAGTTTGCACATTCTGCTTCAGGGGCCCGGGGTTCACAGCTTCGGATCCCGGGTGCAGACATGGCACTGCTTGTCAAGCCATGCTGTGGCAGGGTCCCACATATAAAGTAGAGGAAGATGGGCATGGATGTTAGCTCAGGGCCAGTCTTCCTCAGCAAAAAGAGCAGGATTGTCTGCAGATGTTAGCTGAGGGCTAATCTTCCTCAAAAAAAAAAAAAAAAGACAAAAAAAGAAAGAAAAGTTGTGGTTTATAGGAATTGACAGTCAGTTTCTGACATCCCCGGAGCCAAAGGTCTTGTGGAAAGTCAATACAGAGCACACCGAAAACTGTCAAATTTTGATTGCTGGAAAAGAAACACTGAGACATCACCTGGGTTTTCAATTCTCTCTTACAAAGTAAGATCTTGAAAACCAAACGCTTCTTCTCGTTGTTTTCCTGGGTTTCTGCACACGCATCTGACATCCAAGAAAGTTAGTGCTGGCCGTAAAATCAGAGCTGCCTCGTCATTTAATCTTCTGTTCAAGAGACATTTATCGATGCTAAAGAGGTGTTGGTGTTTCCAGATCTTTTCCCCACAAGGGACCCCTTTAGTAATTTTTTCTTCATGTTTCCTGTTCTTTGAAATAACTTATCCAATAAGTATGTTGTGTGTATTATCAGTTTTCAATATAGCATTGTTGAATCTCAGCTCAAATCCAAGGAAATGTAAACATTTTGAGTTCCTGTATTGCCTTACATGTCAGAAATAGAAAGAACATTGAAGCCCGCCTGGTGGCATAGTGGTTAAGTTCACACACTCTGCTTTGGCTGCCCAGGGGTCACAGGTTGGGATCCCAGGCTCAGACTCAGCACCACTCAAGCCATGCTGTGGCAGCATGCCACACAAAATAGAGGAAGATTGGCATAGACGTTTTCTCAGTGACAATCTTCCTCAGGCAAAATGAGGAAAATTGGCAACAGATGTTAGCTCAGGGCCAATCTTCCTCACAAAAAAAGAAAAAATATATACAGAACAGTCTGCTGCCTCCACCATTACCTTTGTGGTCTACAAAATATTGGAGATATGCTTTCCGAGTGCTTAGTTCAATCTAGGTTTTTGAGGCAAACAATCCCATCTTCCTTAATTGCAGGAATTGTTTACTTGTTAAAATTTTAGTTATGAGAAATACACATAATATTAAATTGACCATTTTCATCCCTGGAAGCCACTATTCTACCTTCTGTTTCTATGAGATTTGTTACTCAAGAAATCTGATATGAGTGAAGTCATGCAATATTTGTCCTTTTGTAACAGGCTTATTTCATTTGTTACAATGGCCTCAAGTTTCATCCGTGCTGTACACTGTGTCAGAATCTCCTCAGTGATGTACACATTTATCTTTATACTTGTGGCAATATTTCTATGTTGTCTACTCTAGAATGTTTTTTGTGTTCTTTTTTCTTTCTTTCTTTCTTTCTTTCTTTCCTTGTTTTTTTGGTGAGGAAGACTGGCCCCAAGCTAACATATGTTGACAATCTTCCTCATTTGCTTGAAGAAGATTGTCCCAGAGCTAACATTTGTGCCAATCCTCTCCCATGTGGTATGTGGGACGTCAGTATAACAAGACCTGATAAGCAGTGTGTAGGTCCGCTCCTGGGATCCGAACTGGAAACCCAAGCGACCTAAGCAGAGCCGGCAAAATTAACCACTATGCCACTGGGCCAGCCACAACTCTAGGATGTTTTCATTGGTACATTAAGATAGGGAATAAATGCTAGGAAAAAACCAAACGATATCTATTATAATTAGAAAGAATTACTCATTGATAAATTACTGATTTTTGTTTTAAACATTTCTATCACCCATTGTGGATTCACGCCCATGATATGCACCTGTCATTCATGGGGTCTTTAATTAATGGTCAAAGAACCCAATCCCGTGTGCTAAGAAAATCTGGTTGCTTGAAAGTGCATTTTGAAATCTCATCATAATATGTATGGAATCTTCCTCAAATGGAATTTTCTTGATTCTGTCGAAAAACTCTTAAGAAAGTTTTATTACTTGTTTGTATGAAGAAAGGGATCATTTTTGCTGTTCACTCCTACAAGTGAGGGATTCTTGAGAATCAGATGTTTTTAACTTGATAGAAAATGTGTGTGTGCATGTGCATGTGTGGTATGTGTGTATTTTTGTGCGTGTGTGTGTGTGTGTGCGTGTATACTGGAAAGCTGAGGAGTAGCTAAGACTTTGCCAGGGTATTGTTTCCCTCTTTCACCATTTTTATTTATCATTCACTAAAGATTCCACAAAGTGAAAGGAGAATCAGCCCTGGGGCCCCAATGGGTGTCTTGACATCACAATATTCACCCTCACTGACAATTAAATTCACAGAAATAAAATAAGGCATGTTCATCGTTGCTTTGGAATAATTAGTGACAAACTTAGAGTCTGCATCTCCATGTTCAGTGGTTTAAAAGCGCATAAGAAAAAAAAATTACCACCATCACTCTGACATTGGCCAGAGTTTCATTTGACTGGTTGAGAAATCATTGCTTCAATTTGACTATGGCCTTGCAGTGGCGTCATTCGAGACTAACTCTTCAAGAGCTGATAGATACTCAGTTGTGGAAACTGCAGGATCAGTTCTCTGTTCAACCACATCCTCGAGAATTGTGCAGCCAGAACCTGGGATGAAAGCAAGCAAATGTGGGCTCTATTGTGGAGGTATGGACCACTTTTTGGATGTACTTGTGATAGTCATCTTCTTAAATCCCAGCAGAGACATACATTCAGAAAGATTATGGTGAATGGTGTTGAGTTCTCAATTCTAGGAGAGTAAACTCAGGATCTGGGCTTCCTTTAAGCCCTAAAACATCTGCCCTCCCCTCCTCCTGCCTTCACAGCCCAGAGAAGCCAAATACTGTGCAACCATGAGAAACAAGGACACTGGAGAAATGAGATGATCTTTACAGGGGTTTGGGGACCAGGAATTCTTCCACAGGGCCCCTGACAGCAAACATTAGCCCACAGCCTGGCCTCCCTGTCTGTCCTCACCTGCATAGCAGTAAAGGGAAAGGGCCACCAGCAAGAGGACCATCACCAGCTTCATGGTGGAGGCAGCTGTTGTTGGCTGGTCTCTGACGTGGCAGGGATGAAGGAACTCACTCTGGAGGGGAGTGCCCAGAACTCCTCCTTCCGGTCCCCACCTTAACCCCTCCCCAAAATAGGGGAATGTGTCACAGGATAAACTTGGCATTGGACTAGGAAATGACAGCGAGAATCAGCCAGAACCCAGCCAGTCTGTGCTCTGTTTGTAGAAACCAAGGAGGGAGAGCTTTTTGGATCCCAAACTATTTCGGAACTGCAATAATGATACATGATTTAGAGGAAATTAATGCGAAAGTGGTTTCTAAATAATAAAGCAAATTGCCTCATTGTGAGCCTATTGCCATCCTTATGGTTTTTGTTATTCTTGTGGTTGTCATTACATCCTGTTCCTCCTCTTCTTTCTCTTCTTCTTCCAGGTACAAAAAGCTTCATATCCTGCTGGTTTTCTGAACACCTGGGCTCAGTGCAATACCACATATGTCCTCCAGGAAGCAGACGTCCCTCACCCATGGACACTTGTCCACTCAGGTGCTTGAAGTTTGGTTAATACTAATGTCTCATCATATCTGAAATTGTTTTGACAAAGAATATCTGATTTAGTTAACTCAATGTAATGAATTAATTCTCTTATAAATCTATGAATTAATTTTCTTTTAAGTCTTGTTAGGTTTTTCTTCCATTGATTGAAAGGATGACATGAAGTAGAACAACTGATTGATTAGGGGAGGCGGTGCTGCATGGTGGAATGATGATGAGATCAAGGCTCACGCAGGTGTGGGTTTGAATCTTGGATCCCACACCTTATCATGACGTGTCCTTGGGCAAGTTAAAGTGCTGGTCATCCCGAGCTTCCTTTTCCTCATTTGTAAAATGGGCATAAATGATACTATGCATAATTTTGGAAAGATGGCAGACACGCTGTGCAAGGAGTCTATCACAGGGCTTAAGACAGGGTAATCGTGAATAAATGGTAGGATTTCTCCATCCGTCCATCCATCCATCCATCCATTCACTCTTCCATTGTTCAACAATAACGATAAGCTTCTCCTATGATGGGGCCCTGTGCTCTGTGCCACAGATTCAGTTGTAGGAACACATCAGAGGAGGATCTTGCTCTGTGGAGTCAGCTCTTAGCAGGGAGGCAACGAGCAAGCCTACAACTGAATGAGTGATATCAGACAGTTACTGTGTAAAGAACAACAACATAGCTACCAGGGGCAGCATCCTGCACAGAGGTCCAGGCAAAGCTATAGGAGGAGAGACCTTTAGGTTTGGATGAGTGGACTGTGATGTCCGGGAAAGACCTGGGGAATAGTATTCTAGGTACTGGGAACAGCAACTACAGAGGCCTGAGAGCAGATGGTACTCAGCAAGGTACAGAAAGTGTGTCTCTTGGTGTCAAGAGAGGGACAGGACAGCCTCGTGCACAGAAAAGCCACATCAGTTTAAGCAGGGATGATGTGACGGTTATAGAAACTAGAAAAACAAACTTGGCTTAGGTTAAAAAAATGAGCCAGCCCTGATGGCCTAACGGTTAAAATTTGGCATGTTCCACTTCAGCAACCTGAGTTCAGTTCCCTGTCCTGGAATCACACCACTCATCTGTCAGTAGCCATGCTGTGGGGGTGGCTCACCTAGAAGAACTAGAAGGACTTACAACTATGATATGAAACCATGCACTGGGGCTTTGGGGATGAAAAATAAAATAAGAAAAAAGAGGAAAATTGGCAACAGATATTAGCTCAGAGTAAATATTTCCCTGCCAAAAAGAAAAGAAATGAATGAGAAAGCCAGAGAGATGAGTCATTGGTTAATTACCTCTGAATGCATTATTTGCTGTCTGGATTATTTGAGACTCACGTCATTCCATCATTCACTGGAGCATAAGTTGCCAAGAATAATACTGATTTCAGAAAATGCTAGAAATAGAGAAGAAGTTGATGTTCTCATATGAGAACTTTCTCCAGTTGACCGTTGCAGGTGATCTTCATTCCAAAGGCAACTGAAGGACTTGAGTAATGAAACAGAGGAGTATCTCCTTGGCCAAGACTTAACAGGGACTCTGCCTGATGCCCCAGTCGTTATGGACCTGCCCTGTCACCTGCTGGGACACTGGAACCTTCAGAGGTTTCTTACTCAGTAAAAAAGACATCCCACATCAAGTACCTCTTGTCCACGATGAAGTGTGTTTTCTCTCCCTCCATGTTTTCTCCATACAACTGATGATGATCATTCTCAGGTGAATCAGATAGTAACTCAGCTCACAAAGACTCATGTGCAAGTCAGCATTTACAAGGAGAAATAGAAGAATCCAAAGGTCAGAATGCTTGTGTTACTGGCCTGATATTTTCTGTTCCCAAAAAGGACTTTGACTCAGGTCCTTACCTTAAGGTGAGAAACTAGAGGAGTAAAGTAGCCTTTAATTTTGGTGTTTGTGTGACATTTATTGATCACCTACTATGGCAAGTTATGGTGTAGAGGTGAATCACTCACAGATTTTACCCAGAATTCCTTGTGTCTAGTGGTAGATAAAGCAAGTGGTAAGAGGGGAATTATATTTGGCTTGTGCTTAGGCTCATACAAGACTGTAGAAATACTCACACTAACATTTTAGTCATTTGAGGCCTTACCATACTTAAGTAATATCATGTTACTTTTTTTTCAGTGACTCATGCATTGGCACAAAAGCCTACAGAAGAGTTATTTTGAAATTGAGATGATCTGTAAGTTTTTTTTAATTGTAAGTTACTGATATGAACCAGTCCCACAGTATTCGAGGTAAGAGATGCCTGTTTCTTTTTCTTCACTCATTCTGTAAGCCTTGTTCTACCCTCTCCTCCAGGACTGTTGGGACATTAACCTCAGGCATGTTCTTGGAAGTGACCATCTTCTTCCTTAAGATCCTGCCAAAGTCTAGACCATGGGTGGACAGGTACTTTACCAGGACAGAAACTTCAGGAAAGGCTCTGTTTTAAAGACATCTTGGTTGTCAGTGAGATGTTCATTGTTCACGGTGTCCAGGCCATTCCTAGACCAGGCATCTCCCTTGCCTTGGGACCAGCCTGGTGTGGAGATTTCACAGCCGTGTGTCTTTGTACGTTGGGACCAGTCCTAGGATTGTTGTGAGGCCTGAATGAGGTATAACGTGTAAGTCCTCAGAACAGGGCTGGGCACAGAATAGGTGCCATCTACATGTCAGCTGCCAGTGACTAATTTCATAAAAATGAGGAAGGGGATGTGACAAACCTTGAAGGATGACTAGGACCTTTATAGACCACTGAAGACTCTGCGACTCTGCTTCTACTTTACTTTCTCTAAAGATCTAGAGATAATTGTGTTCACATCTGAGGTCAAAGTTCTAAGTTGAAAATAAAGCACTGTATTTGATACACACTTAGTTGATATTTTCCTGACTCGCTCTTAAAAGAAATTTATTGAGATATAATTTACATAACACTTCCTCTCAAACATAGTCTGTGTTATGTTGGCCTAGTCATCTTCTCAATATTCAGCACCAATCAATGTTTAGTGCTCTTCAAAATTCAATAAAACGTGAATAGCAAACAATTACATGGCAATTGCTCAATGCAGGACACTGGTGAAAACCTATTTTAATCTTCACATCTACAATCGAATGAGCAGAGTGATGATGAAACTGGTTTTATTGGCTAAACTGGGGTACTTTGGAGGATTGAAGAGGTCACTAAAGAGATGGAGTGCTGGGACAGCAACATAAACCAGGATTCTCTTGAGCAACTGAGGTGTGTGGTCTCTCTCCCCATGAGGTGGGCATATCATTTCTCCCCAGTTGCAGACAATGAGACAAGAGATGTCAAGTAACTTGACCAAGGGGACTCATCTAGTGGATGGCGGAGTCTGAATAAGGAGCCAGGTGTTCTCATTCAAGAGACAGCTCCCAACCCTATTGATATGTTAGTTTGAGCCTATGCACCTTCACTTTACGGCTCAGATGGATCCTTGTGACCCTGACTCGCACAACTGCTAAGGTAAACTCCAGGTGGGTTTCTGTACAGGACCCACAGTGTCTGCTTGAGGCCTTTGCTCCCTGTGTACCTCCCTCTCCCACTGTCCTTGCCTTCGTCCCACTGAATTGAGACTCCTTATTCATTCCCAATGCCACATCAAAGACAGTCCACTTCCTGTGCCCTTTTCTGGCCCCTGAATCTCTCGAGATCTCTCCCCTCCCAGAACCCATGGCCCTCATTGCAGCTTTCTCCTGAGTCCCAGGACCTGTTCCCATGGCCCTTTCCCCCATGTTTACGCTTCTTGAGGGCACGGCCTGTCCACATCTGGTCTTTGTTTGACAATAGTCAACATGTAGCTGCTTACTTTACTGTTCTGTGACTGCCTTTTAGGAAAGATTTCGAATTTTTACAAAGAATTCACTGATTATATTACATGTTGTATTAGTCTGTCTATTTAGAAAGAGAAGTTCATTTAAATTTTCATCATTAGTAAAGGAAAGGGTCAAACCCATCACTTGAACCAGATTTCAGTGTGACACCACCTTCTTTCTGTTCCTGGGTGAGGACTTTGCAGTCACAATAGTGAGGGGGCAGGTTAGGAGAGGAGGAAGTTGGAGTCCATGCCATCAGGAACTGGGCCTCCTCAGTCTCTCTGTCCCGCAGAAGTAACCGTTACCTTGATCCAAAGTAACCCGGATCCATCTAATGACTTGGAACAAGGAGCCAGATTTGGAATCAGAGCCAGGATCAGGTGTCATCTCTGGCTCATTCTCCTTGGCTCCTTCACCAAAACCACGAACAGTATGCAACATGACATTTCCAAAAAGCGTATGCTTAAATATATAATCCCCAAACATATATGATAGCCCATATGGTTTGTTAGATATGTGTACCCTTACATTCTCTATTCAGTTGATAATTTTCCCTGCCTTGCATGCCCACATTTTCTTGCTAACTGTAGGCATCCACAGTTGTGATTCTCTGGTCCTTAGCAGCATTACATGGGGTAGAGAGGGACCTGATATAAAGTATTTCCACTGCTAGAGCAGTGATTCTCTTCTGGGGCTGATTTACTCCCTCCTTCCGCTCATCCCTGTTGACATTGTTAATGTCTAGATATGTTTTGTCATGTCTCCAGCGGGTGGGTGGTGTCCTATTGGCATCAGGTGGGTAGAGACCAGGGATCATGCTAAACAACATGCTAGAGAAATGTCTAAAAGCATTTGGCCTTGTGCTGAAAGGTCAGTAGTGTTAGGTAGCCTCACACAGTGGACAGTGAGTGGAGCCCCAGTGCAGACAGATGCCGGCAGGAGTGTGGGCATTTCTACCCTCTCGTGTGTGAGCTCAGGTTCATGGCCATGCCTCTGCTCAGACTGCTCCCTACACTTCCTCTGTCCTGTCATGCTCCTCCAGTTTGTCCTTCAGGATCCAACTCAGCCATCACCTCCTCACAAAGTCTTCCTTCCTGGAGAGTGCAAGCTCACAGGGCCTTGCTCTTCTTTGAATTCTATGAGCCTTTAATTTCTACAGCAGATTCTCA